CCGGGGCCGCCATCGGCCCGCCCAGGCTTTTTGCGGATGCGGGCGGCGTCTTCATCAGCGCGGCCTCCAACGCTACCATGCTGGTGGCTAATGTGGCGGCCTCGTTCGGGCGTGGCTCGATGTCGGCGATCGAGGAGACCTGGGAAGGCGTTGACCTATTCAACGCGACGGTAAACGCTACTGGGGGCCGCTTCGTGACGCTACACGGCTACTACGACCCGAGCCAAACCTACCCTCTCAGCAAAACGTTGGGCAGACTGCCACTAGAGCGCGGGTTCGATGTCGGCGATCGAGGACACCTGGGAAGGCGTTGACCTATTCAACGCGACGGTGAACGCTACTGGGGGCCGTTTCGTGACGCTACACGGCTACTACGACCCGAGCCAAGCCTACCCTCTCAGCAAAGCGTTGGGCAGACTGCCACTAGAGCGTACCGTTAACGTCTGGCAGGCCCTACGCCGAGTCGACGCCAGCATGCCTGTCATCTCGAAGACTGGCCGGCACTTCTCGGCCTCAAGCCAATGTGAGGGATTGGAGTTTGAGGTCCACCTGCTGAGGACGTACTATGCCGGTGGCCGCTCCCCTTCGTGGGCAGGTTCTTTTTTCCAGTATGAGCCACTCCGTTATGGGAATGGATTGGCTGTGATGTGACCCTTCAACTTGCTTGCTAAGATTGGAGCTCGTGTGCACGCCGGCCGCGAGGCCGCCATTGACCTGAGTTGGCTGCGCGCCCCCCTTCCGCTGACGACGTGCCCGCTGTCTGTGCCCTCCCTTCTGGTTCAAATGGGAGCGAGCTGTGATGTGCCACTTGGTCTCTGATGCTCACGGGCGGAGTCGGGTCCTCAACTGGTGGAGTGGTTCGGCTACATCACAGCCCAGAAACTCACAAGCGTGCGTGCAACATTTTGTTGTTTGAAGTGCCGAAGGTTTGCCTCGCGAGCCGTCGGCGGACATGGTGTCACAGATCAAGAGTTGGTTGATGCCCGCATCCTGTTGCTCAGCGATCGTTTCGTCACCGTTCAGGCTTCGCTCATATTCCCAAGGGCTTCGCCCCATCGCGCGTCCAGCAATGCCGTGGGGGAGTGGTCTGGACGTACCCGGATCAGAACACGCTCGACACAGATTATTGGAGAATGAGAGCAGTGAGTGTAATGTAGAAGTGATGATATGTTCGCCCCTCTTCTTAGTTTTTCTGGGCCCCCCCGAACGTGTGCGAACAATTGCTGTTTGAAGTGCCGACGATTTGGCTCGCGAGCCGTCAGCGGACATGGTGTCAGAAGTCAAGAGTTGGCTGAGGCCCGCATCGTGTTGCTGAGCGATCGTTTCGTCACAGGCTTCGCTCATATTCCCAAGGGCTTCACCCCATTGCACGTTCACCAATCCCGTGGGCGGATGAGTTGAACGTGCCCAGACCAGAACACGTTCAACACACATGATGATGGTGATGATGATGATGACGACGGCGACGACGGCAACGATGACAATGACGATTCTCGCAAGTACGGCTACTTCGGCCTACTGGTACCGCCTTTTGGAACCCTGGCTGGGGAGTACTAGTAGGGCTACTTTGGCCAGGGCCAGCAAATGCTCAATGCAACGCAATGCAACGCATCGCAGCCCAAAACAGTACAATGCGACACAGTGTAACGCAGGGCACTGCAATGCAACGCGCGCCTCGTAGCGTGTCAGCGCCGCGGGGGGGGGGCAAACAAAACCCAATCCCGCCCCTATCGTCGCATGGGGACGTCCGGGCGACCACGCGTAACGTGACAGCGCCGCGGTGTCCGGAGACAAATACGACTCCACGCTACCCGCCACGCACAAGTTCTAGAGAACCCTGGGGCACCTGACGACACTGCACTTCCTCCCGTGAGACGCGGCGGCGGAGTATGCCACGACGACGGCGACGATGACGACGACGACGAGACGGGCCAGAGGAGCGAACAACCTCATCGTCCTTTCCTACTCATCGTCCTTCTCCCTCTTCCTTCCTCCATCCTCCCTCTTCCTCTCCCCCCTCCCGCCTCCCCCATTCCTTCCTCCTCCTCCTCCCTCGTCACTCCTTCCTCCCCTTCTCTCTACCTCCTTCTGTTATCCTGCTTGATTGTATTCCCCTCCTCCCCCTCGCCCGCAACCCAGTGCAACGCAAAGTACTACAATGCAACAATGCAAATACAACGCAATGCCACACAATGCAACCCCATACAATGCAATGCAATGCCCTCCAATGCAATGCATCACAATGCAATGCAATGCAATGCAATGCAATGCAATGCAATGCAATGCAATGCAATGCAATGCAATGCAATGCAATGCAATGCAATGCAACAGGATGCAATGCAATACAATTCATCGCAGCACAATGCAATGATCTGCCACGCAATGCACTGCAATGCAATGCCTCCTCCCTTCTCCCTCCTCCCCCTCTTCCGATGCCAGAGGAAATGTTTGACCCCCCGCTGGCCAGGCCGCCCGCTCCTTCCCAGGGCCAGACAAAATGCGAACCCCAGTGCCCGGCCCCGAGACGGCGTCGATCGGCCAATTTTCGCATATCCTTCATACGGATCGTGCATCCAGGGCTAGAACAATTTGTTCCCTACCTAGGCTCTGCCTAAAAGGGTTCTTACTCGGTTCGCTTAAGGGGGCCGGGCAGTGTAATGCGCCCCGGGCGGTTCCTCTGGTCCCCTGGGTGCCAAGCAAAAGCAAAAGCAAAGGTAAAAGCAAACGCGCGGTTCCCCCAGTTGCGCTCCCTGGGTGCCAAGCAAAAGCAAAAGTAACGGCAAAAGTGAAGGCAAAAGCGAAGGCAAAGCAAAAGCATAGCATAGCATAGCATAGCATAGCATAGCGCAGCATAGCATAGCGCAGCATAGCACAGCATAGCATAGCCTAGCCTAGCCTAGCCTAGCCCAGCATAGCATTGCGCAGCATAGCATAGCATAGCATAGCATAGCATAGCATAGCAGAGCATACCATATAATGACATGGCATATCATAGCGCAGCACAGCATCCACTATTGCTGTTGGTGTATATATATGTGCTTATATATATATATATATATATATATATATATATATATATATATATGGTCGCCCCCCCTCCTATGATCTACCTTATGTCTTTTTGCGGCCTTAACTTCCACTCGGAAGCCCTCGGGGTTGGGCCTTGACTTCCACTCTCGGGGGCACTCGGGGAGCGGGACGGGGGGGGGCGGGAGAGAGAGCGGGAGAGCGGGAGAGCGGGAGAGCGGGAGAGCGGGAGAGCGGGAGAGCGGGAGGGCGGGAGAGCGGGAGAGCGGAGAGAGCGGGAGAGCGGGAGAGCGGGAGAGCGGGAGAGCGGGAGAGCGGGAGAGCGGGAGGGCGGGAGAGCGGGAGAGCGGGAGAGCGGGAGAGCGGGAGAGCGGGAGAGCGGGAGAGCGGGAGAGCGGGAGAGCGGGAGAGCGGGAGAGCGGGAGAGCGGGAGAGCGGGAGAGCGGGAGAGCGGGAGGACGGGAGAGCGGGAGGGCGGGAGAGTGGCCATCCAGGCCCGGGCCATTCCGTCCCGGGGCCTCTCGGGCCACCCGTGCCACCCAGGAAGCCCAGTTGGCGCGTTCTCGCTCTCCCGCTCTCCCGCTCTCCCGCCCTCCCGCTCTCCCGCTCTCCCGTTCCCGCTCTCCCGCTCTCCCGCTCTCCCGCTCTCCGCTCCCGCTCTCCCGCTCTCCCGCTCTCCCGCTCTCCCGCTCTCTCCCGCTCTCCCGCTCTCCCGCTCTCCCGCTCTCCGCTCTCTCCCGCTCTCCCGCTCTCCCGCTCTCCCGCTCTCCCGCTCTCCCGCTCTCCCGCTCTCCCGCTCTCCCGCTCTCCCGCTCTCCCGCTCTCCCGCTCCCCTGCTCTCCCGCTCTCCCGCTCTCCCGCTCTCCCGCTCTCCCGCTCTCCCGCTCTCCCGCTCTCCCGCTCTCCCGCTCTCCCGCTCTCCCGCTCTCCGCCCTCCCGCCCTTCCGCACTCCCGCTCTCCCGCTCCTCGACTCTCTCATTCTCCCGTTCTGCCGCTCCAGGCCCGAAGAGATGAGGAGGAGGAGGAGGAGGAGGAATGGCGGATGGGGGGAGGAGGAGGAGGAGGAGGAGAGGTAGGAGGAAGGGCAAGGAGGAGGAGGAGGAGGAGGAGAAGGAGCGATCAGGAGCGATCAGATGAAAGGACAGCGTACGTCCACAAACGGCGCCATGGCCTTCGGTGACCTGGCCCGCTTGAGGGTTAAAACTGAGGCCTCAGTTTTCGCCCTCGTCGTCGTCCTCCTCCTCCTCCGCACTCCTCCTCTTGCTTCTCCTCCTCCTCCCACTCCCCCAGGGTCCCGGCTTGACCATGGCGAGGTCCTGCCTTCTGTAAAGTGCGCCGGTCTTTTTAGGACGGATCGGTGCGCCTCAGGCTACGTCCAGTCCTCCTGAAGAGGAAGCGGCGGAGGAGAATGAGGAGGAGCAGGAGTAGGAGGATCAGAAGAAGAGGATGCGGAGGAGGAGGCGCAGAAGGAGTTGGAGGCATATGAAAAGTAATCGGAGGATAAGTCGCCCACGTTGGCCAAGTGCGTCGCTCGCGAAGACCTGCTCGCTGCTCTTGCCATGATCAAGGAGTTGGTGGATGGCACCATCACGTCTGGTAAGATAACGATCACAGACAAGCTTTTCTTCGTTCTCTTGCGATACGGCAACGTGTACCGCAGCCACGACGGCGAGTTGTACTTTTACGATAACTTCAAGAATCCGAAGGGGTGGTGGGGAAACCGGAAAGATTCCACCATCGACATGCGGCCGAGCGTGAGCATGGCAGAAGGCATGCTTTATTTAATATGCGAAGAAGTTCCAGAGGTCGGCGACGAGCAAAAAGGTCGGGAGGAAAGGTAGCCGCGAAAATCAATATATCTACCATACTACGATGCAATGGAAATTACGTTTCGCATGCAATGTGTTTTCTGTGAAAAATCTTCGCGGCTACCTTTGCGTCCCGCCACCTTTCGCTCGTCGCTGGATAGGAGCACGTCTGGTGCTGGGACCACGTGAGCCACGCGCTCCAAGAAGCCATGGCCGCTTCCGTCAACCTTGGCACTTCTTTGGACAAGTTCCCAGACACATGCCGGCAGAAGGCGAAGCTGAGTTGGGACCGAAATTTGAAGGAGACCAAAGGGAAAAAGTATATGGCCAACAGCCTAGCCAAGCTCGCCGAGATCTTGTCGAACTTACCAGTTTATTACGAGCAGGATTCGTCGAGAGGTTCGAAATCGGAAATTTGGAAAGCATTCACCGCCAAGATGAACACCGAGAAGCCTCCGTCCCAGGGGTTTGTTTTCGACGACGGGTACAGGGACGTAAACATGGAGCTGGCTGAACCAGATCCGCAGCACAACTGCTACTTCCGCGTGCCTTTCAAGTACGAGGAGGCCAACGTTACGCTCGCCGATTGCCCTGTGGTCCGCGGGAGACAGTATTCGTTATCGGACGTAAGGAAGGTAGTTCATGACTACATCGATTCCTTCTTCTACAAGAACGACGGATACTTCGTGACCTCGTGCGCTTCGACATACTGCGCCTTCTTCGGCATCCACGTGCCCGTCATGATGGTGGCGATCGGAGAAGGTGGTGATGGCAAGGGCGCATTCGATATTCTGGAGTCTTCGCTTTTTGGCAAGCAGAACTCGGCCACCCTCGACCCCGCCATATTCGTCGACGACAACGAGTGGCGGAAAAGTGCGCACTTCGGCCTTCACAAGAAGCGAGTGTGCATTAAAGAGTCGAAAACCCTTTCAGCCAACGTCAGGATCAACGTGGACGTGCTCAAACGCTTCATTGCGGGCGAGGAGATGATCGTCAGGGCAAACTTCGGATTCTCCAGCGAAGTTCGTTACAACAAAATGAAGAAGCAGCAGAGCTGCAATTACGACGACGTCTCTCCTATCATGTCGATTCCCCGAAGCGTTGCCGCGCAGGATCTTGAAGTGCGCGGGGAAGAAGGAGCACCCCGAAAGTCCCCCACGGAGTCAGTGGACCGCCGTTATTTGGCGTCGGCCGTGGGCCTTGCAACGCTGGTTATCGACAGTAAAGACGTCGACCACGAGAACGGCCGCTTCTTGAAAATTGCTTCGGATATTTTGGAAAATATATTGGCGTGCCCTGCTGGAGCTCACGTGTATTTCAGAGAGATTCTACAGCCGACTTGGGATGCACTCGGGGACACGTCGGCCATTGTGAGCACACTCGAACCAGATAATCTCGATGAGCACATGAAGGTGTCCACGCGCTGGTACATCCAGCGTCTGACCAACCAGCAGTGCGATCCAAGGCCCAAGTGCGTCATGGATATATCACCTGGCGCCGCAGGCGAGCGAGCTGGTGGTAGCGATTCTGAGTGGGACGCCTTAGCTTGCTGCTTGAGAAAATTATGGCAGGAAGAGAACAAGAAGAAGCATGGAGAGGAGCGCAAATTAGCAAAAGGCAGGGGCAGACAGGTTGGGGACTGGAAAGTCGCGAGAGAGCTATGCAGTTTGCTCGATGTTCCAAGAGGTTCGGCTTTCACAAAATTTGTGACGCTCGCAAAAAGCTGTGGGCCTTTGGCCGAATACTTGATCCAGAAGGACACCGATGTCAATTTCTTCGGCAAGCAGCAGCTCTATGCATTAGTATTTCCAGTTGATACTGACAAGATGTTGAAACTTACCCGGTCTTTTGACATCCCAGCGCCGACGGCAAGTCCCAGCGAAAGATGGCTCATGGGAGCTCGGCCTGAGGATAAAGACTACCTGTTGTCTGATGAAGAGCAGGAATTCCGTCAGGCAAACTGCTCCGTTGTGTGCGCGGTGGCGGACGTCGTGGACATCAACGGCTTGGTTGCCCACGTCGATTCTGGCGTCGACCGGCGGCAGGCCCAGATTCAAGGATATTCTCGTTTATTGGAGAAACGAGGAACCGCATCCATGGAAGTCGCTGCAGACGGCGGACAGCGCTCATTGAGGAGTCTTCTTCGGACCTACATGAAATATGGATTTGGGCGAATTCATACTGCGGGACCTTCACTCCAGAAAGTTACCAGGGAAGCTCGGCGCGCCGCCTTGGCCGGCATTCCAGGAGGCGTTTTAGAACTCGACATGAAGGTTGCGTTTTTCAGCTTGTTGGTTGTTGCCTTAAAGCAGCACGATCAGCTCAACGTCGAAGCAGAGTTCCCGCTTCTGTGCAACGGTGTCAGCAACTGGGACGGATGGAAGACTTTTGTGTCTAAGTACTTCGACGTCGAGGTGGCCGTCGCGAAGAAGCTGCTGATTTCGGCAACCAGCCCCTACGGGCGGCAGTCGCCAAATCCACAGGAGCGGCCTGACTGGCTCCCACACTTGGACTGTTTGCAGACGGAAATAGTCAATGCTTCTCGGTTTCTTCTCGAGCACGACGTTCTTTACCAGGAGGTCGCGAAGGCGCGACCAGATTGCAGCTCGCTGCACATCTTCCTCGGCGAACTGGAGTGCAGTGTCCTGATGGACATGAAGCACCTGTTGGAAGAAGCAGGTGCGGTGCCGATCTCTTTAGTCTACGACGGTATTTACTTCAGACCCATGGGGCTCGACGTGCACGACGAGAACTTCATCGCACATGTGTCTGCGATCGAAGCCGGCCACGGGATATCTCTGCAATTGAAGGATTTAAGCGGCGCGCCGATTCCTTGGAGGAGCGCCGCTCCCGAGCCAGGCGACCGCATTCTAGGCAGCAGTTCCTCTTCTCGGCCGCGCGAGGACGACTTCTCTTCCGTCCTGGCGGCTGCGTGCGAGAAGTTGGAAGGCAAGGCGCTCGAGGTTGTCCACGGTGAGAACATGTGCGTCATCAGTGCTCTCACAAACATGGACTTAGTTGCGGGGGAGCCGAGCCAGGCAGGGTTCGCTAGCGGCCCGTACTCTTACCGACAATTGCAGAAGCTCTACCCCCCTCTCAAGTTCTCCGAGGTACTGCTGAGCGACTTGATTTGCGCGGATCCCATGGATAATTTTGTCCTGCATATCGGCACACCCGGAACTCGTGGACATGCAATTGGTCTTCGTGCCCGCGAGGGGTCGCCGATGATGTTGGTTTACGACTCGCGTCAGGAAGTCGTCATGCAAATGGGTGACGAGGCTCTATACGACTTGGTTACTCATTGGGACGATGGCCGACGCCACGTTCGCCTGCTCCGAGTGGCTGACGGAGATGACGGCAAAGTTAGTATCGAGGCTGATGTTTTGGATTTGGTTGCTGGGTCCACTCGGCCGTGCACGAAGAGGCCCAGTGCCTTTCAGTCTTGCATGCCTAAGCGTGGGAAGGCGCGCATGGTCAGGAAGATCGCAAAAAGGGCAGCTGCGAAGCACAAGACCCCATACGTGCCTTACGTTCGACACGGGCAAAAGACTATTAAATCTCGCCCAGAACGGATTGCAATCCAATGTTCCCTGAAGACCGTGTACACCGCCACTGCGATGGGCCTAGTGAAGAAGCTCACCGCGAGCGGCCATCTTCGCGATTGGCGCGGCGAGATCTGCCCCTGGTGCGGGGAGGGGGAGTTGGGCCCATTGAAGAATTTTCCAGGCAGGAGCGCGAGCTACCGATGCAGGAGCAAAAGGTGCCAGAAGTTTGTGCTGCCCCATCACGACCATCCTGTGTTTTCACATGGCCGGGGCAACGCATCAGCGCCATTCGCGGACAAGGTAGCTGTCTGCATGTGTGCGACCTGGGACGTGGCACAGAGCAAGTGCCACCAGATAACTGGTAATAGCCACAAGCTCATCGAGAATGTCTACACTCGCCTTGACAGCGCCAGGATGAAGTATGTCAAGAAGAAGGAAAAGAGCATCAAGTTCGGCGCTATCGACAAGTGGCCGGACGTGGAGGCGGACGAGGTGGACCTGGGCAAGAGGGATGATGCGGAGAAGGATGACCAGGACAAGCCAGTGCAATGGGAACAATGGGGAGGATTAGTCGAGCGGGGCAGGCCGAACACTTTGGTCCTGACGCGTCTTGATCCATGCACGACGAAGCGGCGTGCTCCAGGGCCTGGCCCAATCCGCAAACGCGACTGGAAGCCTATTGCCAAGCGACACCTTGAGAACCGAGAGGTCGTGCTGCACACAGACGGGGCGAAAGCGTACAAGCTCAAGATCCCGAAGGTTCTGCACGACAATGTTGTCCACATGAAGAAGAAGGTCACTCTGCGAGGGGTGACACGCTGGATCAAGCCGAAATACTCTGAGGTTGTGGCCCACAGATTGCCGACTGGCGAGCAGATGTACACTAAGTCGGGAACGCAGATCATCGATCGATTCTGGTCGCATCTGCGGAAGCATTTGCAATCGCGCACGCACAGGGTTGGCACCCTTGCCGCAACGCGCCGCATTCGTTCCGCCCAGTGGACATACTGGAACAAAGGTGCGGATTTGTGGGCTTGCACTGGTGAAATGCTCAAGGGTCTTTATTGATTGTTTATGTCATTTGCGAGCGATGCTCCTTTCCCGCATCAGACCAAGTCATATGCTGCGCGAGGTATGATTTCGAAGTGGTCTCGCTGATTCACTGTGCTCCTTTGTGCTACAAAAAGACATAAGGTAGATCATAGGAGGGGGGGCGAGCATATATATGTGTGTGTGCGCGCGCACGTATGTTTGGGCCATCTGCAGAGGCTCCAACTCCTAGGTAGGGTCGCACTGGGATAATTTTGAACCCTTAGGTTTTTTGAAGCGTATTTGAACATTTCCTTGAAACCTCCAGAAGAATGTGTTTGATCCCCTACCCCTCTTGGGGCCTCTTGGGGCCTCCTGGGCGCCTCTTGGGGCCTCCTGGGGGCCTCTTGAGACAGGAGGCTCAGATGTTCGGTTCGTGTTCTTTCTCTGGGCCCCTTTTCGGGCCGTCTTCGGCCCTCGTGGACCGTTCTGGGCGCCCCTTGGGCCGTTTTGGGGCCCTCTTGGGCAGTTTTGGGGCCCTCTTGGAGGCTTCTTAGGCCGTCATGGGGCGGGTCTTGGAGGCCACTGGGCCGTCTGAGAGCGTCGGGGAGCCGAAACGGCGAGAACGCCGAAATCCTTCACATGACCCTTAGGATAATCAACGGTTTAGGGCCTCTTGGGGCCCTCTTGGGAGGCCCCTTGGAAGCCTCTTGGGCCATCGGGGGACCATCTTGAGCGCCTTGGAGCGATCGCTCGGCGATTCGGGGCCCTCAGGGACCGTCCTGGGGGTCCTCTTGGGGCCCTCGTGGCCCGTCCTGGGGCCCTCCTCCTCCTCCTCCTTCTCCTCCTCCTGGGCCCGAGCAGTTCACGCGAGAGCGCCCCCCAGAGCCCAGGGGGCACGCGGGCAGGCCCCCGGGGGCGCGCGACAGGCCCCGGGAGAGCTCGGAGGTTGGAGTCCGGGCCCCGTGAAGACGCCGTACAGTCGGGGCCTTGACCTAACCCTGACTCCGGATCCGCCCTACTTTGGCTTTTTTTCCAACTTAAAATTGCGTGGGAAATCCACCTATAAGATGCCGAAGAAGTAGGGCGGAAATTGCTGCACTCAACATCAAATAGGGCGGAAATCCAGAGAAACAGCAACAGAAAAGTAGGGCGGAAATTGGCATCAGCGGGGCTTGAAAAGTAAGGCGGAAATTCCAAGCCCTACTTACGAATTTCCCCAAAGTAGGGCGGATCCGGAGTCAGGGCCGTCGCCCCCAAATTTCAATGTTCATCGACAGGCGTATCGCGGCCGGCGGGGTCCAGAGAAAGTCTCGAAGTCGCCGGCGTCGGCGTGAATATTGAAATGGGGGGGTCGGGGGGCGCCGCCAGGTCGCGGCTAAAACTTGCGTTCAATTTCGACGAGGGATGTGAGGAACCCTAAATAAGGAACGAGGCCCCTTTTTTCCATAAATTAAACTTCGATTTCCCATCGAAAACATAAGGAAAACCTGAGGCAAGCTGCGAAACACTTAAGGAACGCGGAGCCCCTCCCCAACGAAAAGGGTTCCTTCTTCAGGACCCCGACTGTAGGAGTGAGGATTGAGGCGAAGAGGATTAGGCAAAAGACCTGAGGATACGCCCACTCCGTGCCCAGAGGCACGGTGGCGGATGAGATACAGAAAAGTCCCTCACGCAGGTGATATCCAATATCGTGGCGTCGCTGCGCCCAGGTTGCTGCGAGCATGTCGGAAGGTTGGGCAAATGCCAGCCCGTGCCCCCCCATCGTACCTGTACCCCCGACCCTCCCTGGCCTGACCCCTGCTCTGTCTTTCAGCATTCGCTGTATCACTCAAGCTTCGCCGTTGTGTTCATTCACGCCCGCCATTTTCTTGACAACATGGTGCCTCATCCCTACCCCCGCTTGCCTGCGAGGTGAGAGATTACTATCCCTTCGGCAGCATACTGGCAGAGCTCGTGAAGGCAATCCAGCAATATCCGCAGCAGCAGTAAACAGGGGAAGGCCAGAAGACGGAGCAACAGAAGAGAACAGAGACGAGCAACGAAAACGAACAACATGGGTTACAGCCGATGTACATTGATCGACGTTGACGGCCACAGTGGCGGTGGCGAGAGTGTTGTTAGATTTAGTTGGTGTTTTCAGACCGCTATCATTCCTGAGGCGATTGAAATTGTTCAGCGCGTTCACGTGCATCAGCGCAGACACACATCACATTATCATTCCTGCCCCCCCTCCTCCCTCCCCATCCGTCTTCCCTCTCCCTTGCGTCAGTGACTCCTCATATCCTGCACCCAGAGACCAGAACATCCACGTCTGTCCTTCCTCCTCGCCCCTTCCTACTTCGCTCTCCCTCCGTCCTCTGCCCCCCTGTCGCCCCCTTCCTCTGGGACACCAGGGAGCTGCAAACCTTACGGAGGTATGAGGTATGGGACACCGTCGTTCCATTGGCGATGAATTTCCAAGCAGCTGTTCGTGCGCCACCAGCGTTTGGTCTCCCATACAGCAAGAACGCGCAGGAGGATAAGTCCTCATCGTTCCACACGGCTCGACTTGGGCTGGCCTGTGGCTCGTCGTGGGAGATGGCACATCAGCCCCCCCTTTGCCGTCCCCCGGCACCTATCGCCGATCCTCCTCCCCCTGACACCTTTCCCTTCCCCCCGAGGGGCCCATTCCTCGATACATAGCCGTCTCCGGCGCCGGGAGGCGCCGGGAAAATCAGCTATGTGAGCTGATTCTCAAACCCCCCCTTTGCTATCCCCCCCTTTCGCCCGACCCCTGACACCTTTCCCTCCCCCCCACACCACCACGCCCCTCCCCCTATCGCAGCATCTCGGCGCGATCGCGAGACCCTCAGGCCGCGCAGCACGCGCTGGCCAGCAGGATCCCGTGCTTGGCGAGCCCGGCGTCGAGCGCGGTGCTGGCCATCTACGTGGGGCTGCCCAGAGGGGCAGAAGGGCCCCCCCACCCACGCGAGCGGGAGGAGGAGGAGGAGGAGGAGGAGGAGGAGGAGGAGGGCGAGGAGAATGGGAGGCGGAGGAGGCGCGTGGGGAGGAAAAGGAGACTGGATGTATTTCTTGCAGCGCAGTGCACGCTTGCTGTGCGGCGAGGTCGGGGCCTCACTCTCTGCTCGCTCCCGCCCTGCCTGCCCGCAGCGCCCGTCTCCAAGCCAGAGTGCAGTGCGAGGTTGGCTTCACGTACGTCTTGTTTTGGCCCCGCCTGCCTCCCGCACGGTGAGTCAGACTGTGCATCTCCCCGTTCCCTCCAGCTTTCCCGCATTGCGACCCCGACTCTGCGTTCACAGTTTGCCAGCCTCCTGCAGCGCGAGCCCCGTTTCCACGCCGTGCATCCCGCTCCGCTTCCCCGCGGTACGATTCAGACGTGCTTTCACGTTTCCACTAAGCTTCTCGGTGTGTTGCTACCCTGGAGGTCCGCGTCCGCCGCGCGCGGCCCAACTCTACGCCTGACCGCACCCTGTTCGCGGCCCTGCCGCAGGGCCACGAGTGGCCTCGCGAGCGGCTGCGCCGTGCAGCCCCGCGCACGCCCGAAGAGTGGCCCCGCGGCGGGGCCACGGCGCGGCCTCGCGAGCGGTCCTGCTGCGTGCCTGCAGGTGCCTCGGGAATGACCGCATTGGAGGGTCACGCATGTCGTTAGAGGAGGAGGAGGAGGAGGAGGAGGAGGAGGAGGAGGAGGAGGAGGAGGAGGAGGAGGAGGAGGAGGAGGAGGAGGAGGAGGAGGAGGAGGAGGGGAGGAGGAGGAGGAAGGAGGAGGAGGAGGAGGAGGAGGAGGAGGAGGAGGAGGAGGAGGAGGAGGAGGAGGAGGAGGAGGATGGAGGAGGAGGAGGAGGAGGAGGAGGAGGAGGAGGATGGAGAGGAGGAGGAGAGGAGGAGGAGGAGGAGGAGGAGGAGGAGGAGGAGGAGGAGGAGGAGGGGGAGGGGAGGAGGAGGAGAGGAGGGGGAGGAGGAGGAGGAGGAGGAGGAGGAGGAGGAGAGGAGGAGGAGGAGGAGGAGGAGGAGGAGGAGGAGGAGGAGGAGGAGGAGGAGGGGGAGGAGGGGGAGGTCTCCCTCACTGCCAGCAGCGCGGTCCCAGCCGCCGCTGCTGTGTTCACCAAGGCCGTGCGGGCGCTGAGCTCCAAAAGCCACGCGTGTCGCCCACTTTTGGGCCGCATGTGCCCGATTCGTGGCTTCGCTGTGAGCTCCCGAGTGGCCTCGCGAGGAGCGACGCTGCTGGAAGGCCACGGGTGCCCGCATCGCGGCCACGCTGCGGACCCCATGTGATCTCGTGAGCGGCCCCGGTGTAGGGCTGGCAGTGCCCCGCTGCGGCACAAGCGAACCGTGTGGAAGGCAGTGGTCAAGCGGCAAATCTCTGATACACGTGAGTGCTGCGACTGGAGCCTTGACTCTTTGTCGCGGCGGCTAGGGCAGGCGCCTCCTTGACCGTCGCGCCAACACCGCGGCCGATGTGTCGTAGAGACACGGCGTCTCAGTTCAGTCCAGGCTTGCATCGCCATTCCCATGGTGCTTCGTCGCCATGTTGAGCTCGCCAGCGAGAGCTTCGACGTCCGCCAGGTGCCATCCCCTCACAGAGTGGAGGGATGTCAGGTCTGCGCTGACGTCATGTTTATGCCAGTTGGGGAGGGGGCCCTCAGGGCGAGTGCTTCAACACTCAGCAGACGCGATCCCCGAAGGGCTATGGGAGATTACAGGTCACGTGGGGGCCAAGCTGAGGCCCGCAGGGCGGGGGCCTTTACATCTGCATTCCCGTGCAGCCGTAAGTGATTACAGGCCAACGTTGAGGCCGCGGTGAGGTTGCTTCGGGGCTCCCACGACGAGGTCCTCGACATCTAACAGACGCGCTTCCCAGGATCATATGAGGCCATGTTGAGGCCTTCAGTGCGAGGGCTTCGACATCCACCCGAGGCGCTTCCCAGGCCCGTGTTAGGCCATGTTGAGGCCATCAGTGCGAGGGCCTCGACATGTACCAGAGGCGATTTCCGCGCATAACCGAAGGATTTCAGGCCCCATGTTGAGGCCATGCTGAGGCCCTCACAGCGAGGGTGTCAACATGAGTGCCAGCGGAGACTTCGGCCGAGCTCTATTCCCTTCGGGATGATTGAGCCTACGTTCAGGGATAAGGTGCCGATTCTGGCCAGACTTGGGACCCCAGAGGGGGCCAGAAACCATGATGCCCCTCACTCTTCTTGGATCACATCATCTCCGAATATCGCCGACGTCGAGAGTTTGCCCCAGCACGCACATCCACCAGGACGTGATTCCCCCATACGTAGCCCAGAGGGCTTCCAGGCCAAAGTTGAGGCCGTGTCGAGACCTCAGGCGCGATTGCCTCCCATCCCTGAAGGAAGTATGGCCCATGCTCAGGCTATGTTGAAGCTGCCAGGGCGAGGGCCTCAATTGCCACCACACGTGGTACCCGCGCATTCATGAAGGAGTTGCGGGCCATGCTGGGCCATGCTGATGAGGGCCTGGACATCTGCCGGGGGCTTTTGCCAAACGCCACCAGAGCAGTTCAAAGTAACCTTTGGGACGTGCTGAAGCCGTCGAGGAGCTTCAACCTCCGCCGGCCGGATTTGCTTTCCGCAAATCCCTGGAGGATTTCCGGGCGCACCTGCACGGTAGTTCGTGAGAGCCGCGGCGCACGTCGCCTTTGGCACTCGCAGGCGCAAGCCAGTTTTACAGTTTATCGCCTCCCCCCAGGTCGCTCTTCCAGTTGCGGTGGCGGACCGGCGTCAGTTCCCACGTGCTTCCAGCGTCGTCGGCTGCGGAGGCGGTCGCCGCCGCTGCCCCTCACGGGCCAGCGCCCTGCCGGCCAGCGGCTGCCAAGATCGCCCGGTGCACCGCTCGCGGGACCCGCGGAGGCGCGCGGAGGCCCCCCCCCAGGGCGCGGAGAGGCGACCGCGCGGCGCGGGGCGCGATGCGCGAGAAGCTCCCTGCAGGGGGGCCCAGCTCGCCTCTGCGGAGGAGGAGGAGGAGGAGGAGGAGGAGGAGGAGGAGGAGGAGGAGGAGGAGGAGGAGGAGGCGCCGCTGGCCGAGTGCTCCGCGGCGCGGCGGGCGGCCGCCCCCCCCCCCCCGTCGGCCTCCGCCCCGTCCCGGGCTCCCGGGGGGCGCCGCGGGGCCGACGGTGGGCGGTTCGGGGGGCCGCTGGTGCTTCGGGCCAGGACGCTCGGGAGCGTGGGCGGCAACGGCAGGGAGCCACGTGCGAGCCCTGCCCCTGCCCCCCACGATTTCCGAGGGGGAGGGCGGGGTTCACTTTTCGCGCGGGAGCTCCCGAGCGAAGTGAACCCCGCCCTCCCCCCCAGAAATCGTGGGGGGCAGGGGCAGGGTTCGCACGTGGCTCCTTGAACGGGTCGGGGGGGAGCGACGTGGGGCGACGCGGCCCAGGGCCTTGGCATCGCTCGGACGTGTGCATGTTTCCTTCGGCGAGGACCATCGAGGAGCATCCTTGATCAATTGGCAAGAAAACCACGCACGAAACCGCTAGAAAAAACACAGGGAATGGACGTCCGAGCGATGGCCAGGGGCGCGGCGGCCCCTGGCCGAGCCAAAGTGCTGGGGCCAGGGGCGGTGCAGCCAACCTCCCGGTGCGGCCGCAGGGAGGAACGCGCACCGCTCCTGTGGGCCCCTGTGGGCCCCAGGATGGGGCCTGGCGCTGGGGCCGCGGATGTGCACAGATCAGGAGAGGAAAAAACAACACACAGACACAAGGAATCGTCGACTCCCAGGAAAGGATGGGAAAGTGTGGGAGGTGGGGGGGAGGACAAGAGCCCAGAAGATGTGGGGAGGTATGGGGAATCCTGTTATCTGTGTTTTTTTTTTTTGTGTGTCCCAGGGCCCCTTCAAGAGATCTCGTCGCCCGACGATGGCTGCACGAGCGGAAGGTGAGTCCGCACTGAGCAGTCCCATTGAACTGTAGATCAGGGGAAAGTGGCTGTAAGTGCTGGCCCCGCTGGGGTTCCTCACCGAGCACGAGTGGCCCCAGGTGTTCCCATTTCTCCTGTGTTGGTGGTGTGGCATCACTTGTCGCACAAGTGTCTCCCCTGTGATCCTACCGCGACGGTCCGAACGTGCTTCTCCAGATGCAGATTGTCATTGCTTCCGATAGGCTACTCCTTCCCCCTCCGCATCCTCCCTCATCCTGATTCCGTATGCTTTCCGCCCTCCGTTTTGATTGTTTATTATTGTTATGTTTTGTGTTCTCCTGTCTACGGCCTTATTCTCCCTCTTTCTCCCTCCTCTTCCCTTCCCTCCCTCACGCACTCCCTGGCTTCTCCCTCATCTATGCTCCCTTCTACTTCCGCTGTCCTTCTCCCTCGTCCTCGTCCTGCTCCTCCTCTTCCACATCATCATCAGCATCAGCATCAGCATCAGCATCATCATCATCATCATCATCATCATCATCATCATCATCATCATCATCAGCAGCAGCAGCATCATAAACTGGATCAAAATCAGATTCGTCGTCCATTCACATACTCTGTTGGCAGACGTGTCTAAGCAAGTAGCGCCTGGTTGGCAGTGCCCGCGTGGACAGAGCAAGCATGCTTCCAGCATTTACACTGATGGATCGGTGTTTTTCGACATGTGGGCTCACCCCTTAGCGCCGAGCACATTCATTTTCAAATCTTCAGCAGCTGCAAGGATGGAGGCTACTACGATTTCTCAATGCGGCTCTCTCTTGAGACGTCTTCGAACCCTATGCACCGAAGTTCTAAAGTGTGGAACAGCTACGCGGATGGATGGCGCTTCTTTTTCAAAATGGGGTTGTCGTTCTGGATTTCAACAAGTTCTGCGACCAGAACACTCAGCGCGTGGAACAGTTACACGCATGGAGCGCCGGTCCTTTTCCAAACGGGGCTATCGTTGGACATTTCTTTGACTTTGTCATCGCACTCTTTTGCATTTTCTGTTCTAGCCAGCAGGGCTGATGGTGAATCCTTTTTATAAAAGGGGGCATCACCTGAGCGCGTAGCAGGCCCACCGGGATCTCGTCATTCACAGGGGATGTTTCCCGCAGTGGGACGGAATACTTGTAGAGACCTTTGAGGAGGAAACTTGGTACTGGGGGGTGAATTTCAGCATCGTTGGTGCATCCTGGGCTTGCTCTTGTCCTCCTACTCCTGATTCTCCTTCCTGGAGGTCATGACCACCGCTGCGCGTATGCGCATGGCTTTGCACACTCTCCCAGATTGGAGGCTGGCATTGCAACGTCTGCGGAGTACGACAGAAGATCATGCGCTTTACATGGACTTCAGGAGGGGAGAGTGGTCGCCGCGTTTCTGGGAGGACCCGACGGCATTTGCCCAGCACTTGGCTGCGGCGGCGGGAGGTAGCGAGGACTTGCCGCCATTTCGGGCTAGGGATCTTCAGGCGACGCGGCAAGCGGCGCAGGGTGAGCGCCAGCATGCAGCGGTGTCGAGCAGGAAGCCCCACATCCAGCGTGCCATCGCGCGCTCCCTCTTGCCCGCCTCTTCCCCGGACCGTCTCCACCTCCTCCTCCACCGCCGCCTCCGTGCATGGGCGTGGCGGAGCAGCGCCCAGGACGGTTGACGAGAAGAGGGAGCTTTGGGGAGAGCTTCGGAGGGAGCTTGTTCATGTGCGAACGTCCTGCCACCTTGGCTTTCCTCAAAGCGGCGTGTGGCGGGTGGACGGCCCGTGGACGCATGCACGTCCTCCGAGGCCGGGCCTGTCGTTTCGGATGCCCCGACGCAGGCGCCTTCGACGATTTCCACCACTACCTCGCATGCCCCTGCCTCGCTGGCCTCCTATCTCCTCCCCCCCACGTTCCCGACCCCTGCCGACACGATCCAGCGGTGAGCCCTCGGCACCTTCTATCCTCCCACTGGGCCGCTCGCTCGTCGCGACGACACCCGACGAGTCGTGTTGGCCTTTCACCATGATCGCAGAGTCAAGGAGGGTGAAGATAGGGGGCCACGTGCGAACCCTACCCCTAACCCCCACGACTTCCGAGGGGGAGGGTGGGGTTCACTTCGTTCGGGAGCTCTCGAGCAAAGTGAACCCCACCCTCCCCCTCAGAAGCCGTGGGGGGTAGGGGTAGGGTTCGCATGTGCCCCCCTAGAAGAGCGCCCGTCTGCTGCCGTCGTGGCGCGTGCATATCAGGCAGCGGCCCTCGCATGCCAAGAGTGAGCCTTGAGAGCGCAGCTCCTGCTCACTCACTGCTGGCGCCTCCTCTCCTCTGAGCCTCCTCACCCCCTCCGTCTCGTGGAAGAACAGGTTCGGCAGGGCCAACATTCGTGACATGTTCGTTGCCGTGTCGGGCGCCTGGATGAGGTCTTGCACAGCACGGGAAACATTTGGTGACGTTTCGGTCGCCTGCGCCGGTGACCTTCCAGGGCCTCCAAGAGGCCTCTGGAGGTCACCGGCTGGAGGTTCCCACAGCTTGCGTCGGTGACCTTCTGGGCCCCCCCAGAAGCCTCTTGAGGTCACCGGCTGGGGGTCTCCTGATCCCGTGGCATCTTCTCCCGAGTCCCCTTCTTGTCAGCACCTGCGCCGATTCTATCCATATCCATTGGCGGTCGGCTGCCCACGCAGTCCGTCGCCTACATCCGGAGGCCGGCCTCTGTGACCGCGTCAGGCTGTCGTGGCATCCAGCCGTCGTGGTCGACGAACCAGCGCGCCGCAGCGTTCTGGCCCTCCTCATCCTCTCTCGTACCTTCTGCTTTCCCCTCCCCCGCCTCCCCGCTCTGATTCTGTCTGATGCGAGGGGTGTTATTCATATATTGTGCACAGGTAGTCGTTTTGCTTCACAATGTCCTCATTTCCGTCCCCATTAATGGGGCGAGCGGCTCTCTGAGTCGCCCGGCCGGATTTGCTTGCTTGCTTGCTTGCTTGCCTCCCCGCTCAGGCTGGTGCATTATCCGAGGGCTGCGTGGGCGCGCCCGGACGCGTCGTTCCTGGGGCCCCTGGAGAGGCGGCCGCTGCCTCTCTCTCCCGAGCCCGCTCTCTCGCCTTCCGCTTCCAGCTGCTCCCCTCTCTCCCTCCCTCGCCTCCCACTTCGCCTCCCCCTCCCTTGCCTTCCCCCGGGCATCGCTCGGACGTGTGCATTTTTTTCTCGGCGAGGACCCTGGAGGAGCATCCTTGATCATTTGGCGAAAAAAACACGCACGAGACCGAAACAAACACAGGGAATGGACGTCCGAGCGATGGCCAGTTCCCCCCTGTCCTCCCCCCTGCAGCCCCTCCCCCCCTCCCACGCGCCTGTTCCTTCTCCGGCGAGGTGGCGGCACACTGTCGCGAGTGCATGCGATCAGACGTGTTGAGCTGCACCCAGCCTTGCGGGTGACCCACGCAGTCGGACGCTCAAAGAAGGAGCGCACCAGGACGTCCGCACGGCACGGAGAGCAGCCGCTCAGGCGCATGGCAGGAGGATCCCCGCCAGGCAGCAGCAGAAATCGTCTGAGCAGAAGTGGCCGAAGAGAGCTCTGAAGTGACCAACATCTGCTGATACAAACTTGCCTGAGGCTGGATCGAACAAATTCAGGAGAGGAACAAAAAACACAGACACCATTAATCGTCGA